GAGTTTTTATTTTTAAAAAAATTCTTTCTGTTGCTTTGCGTTCATTACTCTTTTCCAGCTGTCGCTTTAGTTTTTATCATCCTGATCATAGCAGTGAATGGTTTGTAACCATATAAGAGGTTTTTTTGATAAATCGAAAAACAAAAACGGTTTAATGTCACTGGTTTTTGTGTAGTTATTAAAGCGTGGTAAACAGTGATAGCTGACAAAACTATAATTTAAGTGAACTTTTTGATGAAATAGTTTTTATTTTCTTGACTTTGTTATAGTTTTCAATGTCCTGATCATATCGGTGATTATGGTTAAAATGAAACGTGATGTTTTCTTTGTCAGGTTTTTAATTTTAAAACAAATATAGGTTGAATGACAAATACAAACTACAAAAACAAATTTACCTCGGTAGTATCTGTGTACTGATATCAGGTTGGTTTTTACTGATAACTGGTAATACTGCATTGTAAAAAACTTTTTAGTTGATTTGACTTTATATTTCTTCAAGACTGTTATAGCTTAAGACTGTTATAGCTAGTTGAATTGACTTTAGATTTCCTGAGTATCCTGATCATAGCGAAGAAATGGTGATCAAGATAAAAAATGGTTTCGTGTTGGCTGTTTCTTTTGCTTTTTATAGGAACGAGAATGAATGACATTTCAGTCCAGGCAAAAAGTTTTCTACCATTGAAAAAAATTAAGTGAGTTTTTTCTCTTTCTTCGGGTTCATTACTCGTTTTCAGCTGTCGGTTGACCTTGTTTTTAGTTTTGAACATCTTGAATCTTGATCATAGCGGTGAGTGGGTGGGAAGGAAATTATCAAAGTGGTATCTGTGTAGTGATTTCAGTTTATTTTATACTGATAGCTGGCAAAACTAGAGTGTGAATTTTTTTTTAGCAGAGTTGACTTTATATTCCTTTAAGACTGTTATAGCTTAAGACTGTTATCGCTAGTTGCTAGTTGAAATGCTAGTTGAATTGACTTTAGATTTCCTTAATATTCTGATCATAGCGAGGATATTGTGATCAAGATAAAAGATGGTTTCTTGTTGGCCGTTTTTTGCTCTTTACAGGTACCGAGAATGCATGACATTTCAATGCTTGGAAAAAAATTTCTTTCATATTTTCTCTGTAGTATAAATTTGGATTGGTTTTCATGGTAGCTGGCAAAAAAGAGTGTAAGCATTCAAAATCCAAGTTAAACTTTTTAAATTCCCCATCGTGAGTGTGGTGATCAAGTGTATGTTGTTTATCTGTTACGATTTTGCGCCTAATAACCCCAGAGAATGAATGATAATTCGTTCCTGGGAAAAATAGCTTCTGTCAGAGGTTTCATGATAATGATCTAAGGTTCTGGTAGCTGGTAAGTGAAACATTTGGGCTGAAATGCTTTTCTATTTCTTTTCGTTGCTAAAGTTTTTCACATCCTCAACATAGGAATGAGTGTGGTGATCATGATATGTGATGTTTTCTGTAATAAAGTTTTTGATTTCAACTTTTATGGAGAGTGTGTTGTTAATTCTTCATAGATGTTGAGAACAATTTTCTAAGATTAAAAAGTGTGGTTAATATTAAGAATAATTCGAAATTGTGAATCGTGCTTTTCGAACAGCTTAGTCTTTTCTGAGAAGTTTGACTCTAAGAAGTTGGATTTAGCAGCGTTACTTGAATTCATGAGGAATGAAAAAAAAAACGTTCTTCGAGATGAAGAGGATAACAAAAGATACAAGATAATACGTAATAATATAAGATTCTATTCAAAAATGCACTTGTAACGAATATCCCCCCTACCCTCTATAAAGAAAGAATTGAACAGTTAAGCATATACGAGTTTTGTACCTTGTTAACTATACTCACTCCTACCCCCCCCCCCCCCCCGCGCCCCTATTACAATAGGGGGGAAATAGTTGACAAGGTCCACATCTTTTTCCTTGATATCGTTTTGAATTTGTTTACTTCAGTGCTTTAATTTTTCAGTCATACTCTTTTTATTCAAACAGTCAATTTGCATTTTGAAGTGAATTTTTAAAGCTAGCTCTCAAATAAAATTGGAAAAAGAAAATCGTTAAAAAACAAAAATTGTTATTTTTTCTGTTTAGTTAATAGTTCAATCTCAAATTTAAAGCAGTCACAAAATTTTACCAAAATCTAAAAGCTTTATGTAAAAACTTTACATTCGAAACTCAAGGTCAAATTATTTTTCCGCGCTTACATTTTTGTTCAGATGTTGGATTGTACATAAAAGATGTCAGTTCTACTTTAATTGACCGAACTGTTTCTCAGCGTATCCACGCTCTTGGTTTTTCCATCCTGAAGTTACTGGTAGATAACGTTCAAGTGGACAATCAATCCGCATCTGACTTGAGTAGTTTCATCGATGATTTGAAGACTTTCAGGTTAGTTTTTTTCATATTTCTATCGCAATCTCTTAATGATAACCTTCATTTTGAAATAAATGATTAATTTCAAAAACTTTGATACTTGAAATTACATGAATTTTTCTACTCATGAGTTTTTCAAAATATGAAAGATGACGCGCGTATAACTGCTGAGTTCAAGTTTACTGCTTCGTTCCCGGTGCTCGACTCATGATCTTCGTCCCAATTTAATACGGTCGAACGAATACTGTAGTCGAACAAAGTCAAATCATCGATCGATAGAGTCGAACAGGGTCAAATCATGAGTCAAACAGGGTCGACTCATGGGTCGACCAGGGTCGAATCATGAGTCGAACAGGGTCGAGTCATGAGTCGAACAGGGTTGAATCATAGGTCGAACGGGGTCAAATCATGAGTCAAACAGGGTCGAATCATGGGTCGAACAGGGTCGAATCATGAGTCGAACAGGGTCAAATCATGAGTCAAACAGGGTCGAATCATGGGTCGAACAGGGTCGAATCATAAGTCGAACAGGGTCGAGTCATGAGTCGAACAGGGTTGAATCATAGGTCGAACGGGGTCAAATCATAGGTCGAACGAGGTCAAATCATGGGTCAAACGGAGTCGAATCATGGGTCGAACGGGGTCGAATCATAGGTCGAACGGGGTCGAATCATGGGTCGAGCTGGATCAAGTCATGGGTCGAACGGGGTCTAACAGGGTTGAATCATTCGAAATTAGTCAAAAGGGGTCAATCATGAATCACATAGGGTCAAATGATGCGCAGAAATAGCGAAAATTTGATTTTTATGTCGGATTGTTTTTGCTTGCAAGACTGTAAACAGATGCAAATTACGAAAACTAATCCAGTATATATGTAATTTCAATGTGCAGTTAGCTGGACCAGCATAATGCTGCTGATCATATACAGGACTGTCACGAGAAGGCCTACACATGGTCTCAATATCAAATATAAGCTCTTATTTGGAGCTACAAAAAATTGCAACCAAAAAAAGCTTGGAAAAAATTAAACCAAATAATTCAATTTAGCACAAAAGTCATCAAATAAACATTCAATGATAAACAACTAGTTGTTACCTTAAAGCTAAAACTTTGATCAATGCCAATTAATCGATGCCAACTAAAAGAAACTCGGAAGAATTTTTTTGTGCAAGAGCAGTACTGTTGCTCTGATTCGTGGTTATTATTTTATTAGAGTGAGCAAAATTTTGCTCACTGTAAAAAAAATATTGACCACGACTCAGAGCAACAGTACTACTCTTACGTAAAAAAAACTCAAATTCTTCCGAATGTTTTTTTGTTGGCATTGATTAGTTTATTTAGTTTTCGGCCAAAAAAATAAATATTGACTGCCTTAGTCAAGTACCAATTTCATACTTTGGAGTCGTTCATACTTTGGAGTCCGGAAATCATTAAGAACAATTTAGTTTGCCTTAATTCAATTTAAAACGACTATGAGTGACGGCTAACTCGCCATGCATAAATCATTGGCGTATTGAAATAAATATGAAAAACGTCCAATTTCTCACAATAAATGGGTTAATAAATGAGAAAGCATATTTGCCTGAGAACGAGAATAATCCAGAATCGATCCAAAAGCTGTGAATCACAATTGCTCTGAATAAAAAATCAACCCCAGAATATAATCTTTTCATATTCTTCGAAAGTGGGAACTCGGAAGTAAAACGGACAATGGGTTAGCTTTGATTTTCTTATTCTAGCGTACAGTTGAAAGAACTAATCCTCAGAGACGTCATCAGCTTCAACTCACAACCATGTCAGCTTCAATTTGATTTTAATCATCACTACCAAGATCTTTCTTTCATCAATGTGAACAATTATGTCTGTGTAAATTCTCTGCCAGAAATTGTTTTCAGTGCTCCAACACCATTAGAGTGAGTTTAATTCCGTATACGTTGTTTTTTTTTGAAAATTCATAAGGACCAAAATTTTGATTGCTAGTTTGGCTTCGATAAGGATTAAGCAAAAAAAAATTGAGGCAAAAATTTCATCGTATATTATCCTAAAGCTTTGCTTTTTCTCGTGATGTGATTGAGGTTTTTTGAATTCGGTTCAGTTTTCCGTGTAACTGAAAAATCTAAGCTCACTAGAGATAATCTAGAAAAAAAGAACACCACAAGAGATAGAAAACCACACGGCAAAGTCAAATCAAGTAACGAACCTGAACTTATTTTAATTCCTTCCTAAAAAAACTTAAACAAAAGTAACAATTTGTTTCAGTTGAGTGAAACTTTTGAAAAAGATTTCAGTATTTTTTTCCATTAACATATTAAGCAACGTTTCAGGGGTCAAACATGGCGTTTTCAGAATACAACTTTGGGTTTTGAAAAAATCTACATTGATTTTGACTCTTATGGTGAAATACAAATTCTTTCTACAACGCATACTGGTTGCCACACTCCCGGCCAGCAAATGAAACATTCTTCCCACATAACCATATACAAAAGAACAAGACTGCTCAAGTATCAGGGCAAAACCTTGATTGTTCCGACAGCTCCTTCATCCATATCGACTAGTTTTGGCTGAAAAAGGTATTGAAAAACTATAAATATTGGACAATATCAAAAATCAAGTTTGAAAATTCACATTACAAAATTAATACGACCGGTTAGTTAATCTGGTCTCAATTTAACTTGGAACGATTTTTGGTGCGGGATAGTTCGTCACGCATAAATAGTTTGCGTTGTGCTTTCAGCATTATGAACAAAATCTTCAAAGCACGCATAACTTAGAGCTTGGTCAAATTGGTAACTTTCAAACTCCCTGAACTTTGCATAAAATACTCGAAGCTACGATATCTTTTTAAATTTGGTTTCAAGAAGTCTATATCTTCAAAGGGTTACAAAAACTGTTAAAAACAATTTTATGATCGCCGAAATTGGACTGAATAAAAAAACCACCCCAAACATAAATATTCCGTTTTCTTCGAAAGTCGGAACAACAAATTAAATATGGTTATAAGCAATATCAAAACTTCAATAATCTACTTCAACAACATCAAAAAACGTATTATTTTCAACATTTTTGATTGTTTTTTTGAGTAACCGAGGAGAAACAATATTGGAACTTTGAGATAAGATTTCCATACAGCGATTAAATGCCCTGCAATATTTTGGAATAGTTTTTAAAATTGCTGTTTTTCAATTTGCTTAAAATTGCAAGTTCGTGCTTTTTCCAAAACATTTGCCTGCAACTATGTATAAATGTTTCGACTTTCGAAAAAAAAGAAATATTTATGTTTAGGTTGGTTTTTTTATTCAGTCAACTTTCAACGATCGAAATATTAATGTTTATCAAACAATTTTCCCTACCTTATTTACCTTATTGAAGATATTGACTCCTTGACTTCAAATCTAAAAAAATATTTATTCAAGTTGATATCTTCAATGAAGTATAATAGTTTTTTGTTTAAAACTATTATTTCGATCGGCGAAACTCACTCGACCATACAACTCGAAGAAAATTTTAAAAAATTCCCTAAGGACTCATTTTTTTGTTAAAAGCATTTCAAGTTTTTCTCTACTTAGTTAGTTATTTGGGAAAAATATGGACAGGAAAAACCTAATTCTTGCGCAAAAAAGCGCCTTTTTGGAGAAAACAACAATAACAATCGATGCAGCTGCTGCTGCTGGAGTTCAACAAAACGGAATCAAGTCTGAAGGCATTTTCGACTCAGTAGTTAAATTTAGACAGTTGAACTGGCTTTCGTTTCCAAAAGAAATTGATTCCGGCTTTCTAGGTGATAGCTACATCAAATTTGAAGTTATTCAGTTTGAAACAAAAAAAGGAAAAATGGTTCAACGAGAAATGACTGAAGAAGATAATCGTTACTGGAAATATGGACTTTGCCATGAAATCGGACTTGTAAAGTTATGTGTCTTGTGTTATCAACAATTCTATGGACTTCACTCGACCAAAGATCTTCTCAAGACACAGTAAGTTCCCATGTTATGAAAATGTCTGGCATTTTTTTTTAATTTAGTAGTTTTCAGTGGATTGTTTTGGAGTACCTCACCATAGATTTGATTTCTGTACAGCAACTTTTTGTTCGAAAACAAGAAAATTAAATAGCAAAAGGTATTTAAGTGAGCTTTGATTTGGGGCTTTTTTTAAAAAAAAAGAGCCAAAAATGGTTTCAAATGTGAAACAATAATAAAAACGTGGGTTTGACTGAAGCTTGAGGAAATCTGAGAACATGGAAACCGTTATTTTCTAAAAAGAATCAAATTTCTTCGGCCATTTATTGATTTTAATTTCTTTTGAGAAATGAAAAACAAGTACACTAAAATAAACGAAAGTTTTAAATTCACAAAAAAAAACGTATCACTACGTAGATCAATAGTTTCTCATTGATTCAGTTAATCTAATTTCGTAAATCAAATGTCAATTAATAAAATGTCTTTCAAAATTGTTCTTGAAACTCAAATTGTTTTAAGGCCATATATTTTTCCTTCGAAAATCTAACTTTGACGTTTTATCAAAAAGCAACTTAAACTTTTTAATTCACTGATTTTTTTTTCAAACTGTCTGTTGGCAAATTTTTGACGTTCTTCTGAATTAATTTTGAGCTAGTGTTTAAGAGTAATGAACGTAGTGAAGTCTCTTACATAGGTCTTGCCGATTTTTTTTTTTTTTTTTTTTTTCAAAAAAGTCTTATAAGTCTCTAATAACTACAGATGTGCATTCATACATATTCATGCAACTATGAATGCGCTAAGGTATATATGCACTTTATGAGTTCAATTGAAATTCATCTGCTGAAAGTGACGTAGATAGCACTCTCCAAATACGAACGTGGAATTGGAGCAAAAAAGTGTGAACGATTTTTAGTTTCAAAAGTGGAAAATATTTTTAAGATTTCATAGCGGAATGAAAACTTTACCTATTGATGCAGTTTTCTCTTGTTGGGTTCAACTGTCAAAAAAGCGATAATCATGAGTCTAGAAAATAAAAGAGCTTAAAGGGAATTTTTTTCCAGAAAATTCAGTGAGCTTTTTTCAACAAGTTCAGTGTTTTTTTTATGTTTACTTGCGTTCATTATGATTTTCCAAACTTCGATTGGCCATGTTCATATCAGACATGTAACACTTAAATCGAAGCCAGACAGAAATTATCAACATAAGTGTTGAAGACTCAAACCACACATTTTTCTCTTTAACAGCAAATTATTTCCAGAAACCAGCAAGTAGATCGTTTTAACTGGTGCTGGACATCAAGCCGACGAGACTTCCAGCCAAATTGTACCCTAAAAATTTTTTGATTAATTTCTCAATTTCATGATCTTTCACAGCTAGTTATTGGCGTTTCCATAAAATTTAAGCCTCCAAATGATGTTTAGAAAAGTTGAAAGATAAAACACGGTTGAAGGCGTTTCTCATGTTCATAATTTATGCATTTCAAAAACCGGCTGATGCTATTAATGGATGAAAATTCTTTTTAGTTCATTGTCATGAATAGCGCTTATTATTGACTAAATTTTCAAAATGCAACTTTTTTTCAGATGAAAATTAGAGATTTGATGTGCTTGTGAAGTTTAAAATTCGACCTGAAGTCCTTTCGCCTTGAAGTCTTGTCGGCCTGTTGTCCTAGACTCGTTCAGTTTGCATGCAGCAAGGCATAGTGCCACCACTGATTTTCATTTAAACGCAAATTAATGAAATGCAAACTTTTTCTACAACTCAGAGTGGTTCCCACACTCCCCGCCAGCAGAAGAAACATTCGTCCCACATAACGACATATAAAATAACAAGACTGCTCGTAAATCAGGGCAAAGCTTTGAAAGTTTCGACTGCCCCTTGATCCATAGCGATTAGTTTTTGGTTAAAAAAAGTTAAAAAAACTATCAATATTTGGCAGTGGTGCGTAGATATTTGTGCCCTAGACATCTGAGTCCTTGAAAAAACTGTCTTAAACTACAAAAATCTGTCAGACGCTTGTGTCCAACTCAAAATTGTCAAAAAAGTTTCACTTTGATTTGACCTTATGATCTCTAAGGCTTTTGCGTCCCTCTGAAACCGCATTTGGCCACAATTCAAACCGCATTTGGCCGAGCGGTGAAGTCTTTACTTTTGAGATCAAAAGGCTGGTAGTTCAAATCTCATGGTACCAAAAAAATTCTCTCGGTTTAGTGGAAATTTTATAATGAAAAAACCTAAAATCGGTTAAAACTTTTCAAACTTGATATGGTTTGACTAATTTGGGTCAGAAGGAAAAGATATAAGAAATCTTGATTATAATATATTTTTTTGCCGTTTCCAAAACGGTTCTAGCTCAATTTTGAAATGTTTCAGGAAAAAAACTTGAAAAAACTTTTTGAAATTTGTTTCTTTACAACATAAATTTTAGATATTTGGAAAAAAAAACTGAATTTTCACAGAGTGCGCTGTTCCTGAAATTGAGAATTTAATAGACAGCAACTAACTCGAAAAGGTTTTTTTTTTCAAGTTAACCACATTGAGGTTTTCATAACGGGACACTCTTTGCCCTACGCATAATTTTTCTAGCAGGTTTTCGGCGTCTTTCTGTTCATCTTAGAAATGTTCGATGAGCTTCGGAAACAATGGATGTTTTGCGTATAATCAATCAAATAGTATCAAGTTCCGATTTCTTAACTAAGCAGTTTGGACCCAAGGTTTTTATATCAGCCGAATAGCATTGTTACACTAAACTCAAATAAAAAAAAAATTTCACCGGTGATCTTTATTTGTAATCTTATGGGGTTTTAAATTAAGTTGAGGCATGCTATTTGATCAATTTGATACTTAACTATGAGCTAAATGCATTACTTTGTACTTTACATAGCGTGGGGAGGGGAGATTTTTGCAAAAAAACCTGAATAAAAAATATTAAATTTTTTCGAAAGCTATTACTTTTTTCTAAAGCGAACAATACTCTATAGGTTTTGAAGGGCAGTCGGAAAACTTAGGGCTTCGCCCTGATACAAGCAAGCAGTCTAGTTTTGATACTAACTATGACTTTTTTCATCTAGTTTTTGAATGCTGAGCAAAACTCAGCGGCTCGTAGATCTGGCCGCAAATTTTTATTTATATATTATCGAAGCGTACTCATCAAAATATTGTAGTGCTTGAAACAGTGCACAAAAGCTTTCCTTGTTTTGCACAAGGACTTTTCAAATATATTGGAAAGCAATGTCAATAAAAGTTTTAAAAAAACCATAAGTTTAACAGTTAACTTATACTTGGAAACTGGAGACTGCTAGTATATAGGGGTAAAGGTCTGAATGTTCCGACTGCCCCTTAGTCCATATATACTAGTTTTTGGGAAAAGAGAAAATTAAAAAACTATTAACATTGGACAATATCAAAGATCAAGTGTAAAAATTTGAGTGTTACAAAATTAATACAATCAAAACGACCAATTAGCTAGTCTCAATTAACTCTTTTTGTGCGTTTTGTGGGTAAAATCTTATTTCGACATAAAATCAAGCCTCGACTGTCCTAAAAAAGTATTCCTAAACTTTTCCCCCCCCAACTTTATTTGGTGCCCCAGAGTTATTTTGACACTATCGTAATTCAAGCCCTGAATTTTTGATGCGTTCATTTTGCCGCAGACGCCGTAATCAAACGGGTTAATTGACAAAAGTGATCATCGTTTGACTGATTTTATGCTGATTAAAAATTATGCATTTGCCGCTAATATCTGTATTTGAGATAAGATTTTATTTTTTATATCACCAATGGTATATATTTTGCAATTTCAATGAGGCTTTCATCTGAACACTTTACCTTGTCAATTAACTCTATTATGTAATTTCATTTCACCATAGATTGAAAGGTTTCAATCAAAGTTTAAAAACCATAAAATTTGACAAAAAAACGCCACAGGAAACTTTTGCCGCCGCGTTTTTAGAGAAATTCGGTTCCTACAATGTATATTTAAATTTTGTTACTTTGAAGCGTTTGGAGCTGGAATTAAATTTATTACATCTTATAATACAAAACAGTTTGTAAAATGTAAATTTACTTTGTAAATGAAAAAACTAATAGTTTTCAATTGCATCAAAAATAGGGATTAAATTGGATTATGACCTTGGTTATTGTCACCCTGATTCTTAGCATATAACAATGAGTTATATGACTTTAGTTTATTATTCAATTGTTTTTTCGATGAGGTTGAGTAATCATAAAATGTGTGGTGGACTCGTTTTTTGCAGTTCTCTTCATAACCGGTCGAACCAACTTATTCAAATGTTTGCTTCCTTGCTTCCTGATAAAAAATTAGACACCTGCAGGACGTGTTTCATCAGAATATCACGTCATAAGACATTTTAATAGCAATAAATAACAAAGATAGCCGGTTACTGTGCAAGTAGCACAGAATGTTCCGACCAAAGTCTTTAAAAATACAAAAAAAAGGATTTCAAAGTTGGTGTCGTTTTCTTCTGCATGTTCTGATGAAAAGATCTGAAGGAAAATATTAAAAAGTTAGGCATATTTGAGAGTTATCGTAAAATAGGTCAATTGAAAACATTTTTTCAGGACAAATGATTAGAAAAGCGAAAAATAACTTTTAAAAAGTTTCAAACATTTCAAAATATTTTTCAAACTTTTTGCAAAAATGTTTTGATTTTTCAAGTTTTTGATGCCCAAAATTGCGCTAAGAACTCCAGAATCTACCTTTTTTTGATCAAAACTAAGTTTTCACGGCTGAAATTAAGCTTAAATAAGCTATTTGAAGCAAATACTGTCACCTTATTAGCTCGAAATTAGACCAAAAATCATAAATTTCAAAACGGTTTTTCTCAACACTCAAATCACGACTAAAAGGGTTTAAAAACGATATATCACTCAACCCAGTCCGATCATTATTTGTGGTACTTGACCTAAGCAAAAAAACTAAAACATACCCGAATACAGAGTTCCTCCCCATTTTCAATGGTCGGAACAATAATGGAGTAAACTTCAATGAGATGTAAACTTTCAAACAATAGAGCAAATGAATAGGCTAATGAAAAGATGAACGTGAGAAAGTACGTCAGTTAGTTTTCTCGCCAACTGTCTGTTAATTCTCTTCAAATAATTACCTTTTTAGTGCAAAAATTGTGAGTTTTTTTTTATTTAAAAAACTTTTCATTAGATTTAACTTTTCTTGAAAGATCTGATATCCAAATTTTCTACGGTTTTGAAATTGGTAAGCATCTGAAAAATTAGCTTTGTAATTTTTTTTAAACAAAGAACATTTTTTATCTTTGCTTCAAAATTCAGTTACTTAAGCAACAGGCTACAATCAAAAAGCAAGAAGCGTCAATTAATAAAATGTTTATAGAAAATTGAATGATAGTTTTTAAGAATTGGCTCTCTCTTCATTGAAAGTGTTGTTCACAGCTACCAACAAAAAACAACAACAAGTATTTGTGACCCACGCGATTCTTGATTATTGATTTTTTACATTTTAATTTCTCAAAATTTTTTGGTTATGTTCGTAACCGAACACAAATGACATAAGCCTTGATTACTCAAACTTAGTAACCAACGGTTTTGCCGTCTCGCATTAAAAATGCATTGGAAACAGCCTAATATGTGTTACTTCTGTCTCAGACAAATAATATAACGAAAGTAATGAACTTTTCAATTTTGTTAATAATTTTCAAAGATGATTATTTCTAAAATTTGAATTTTTAAATTACCAGACATTGATCAAGGCATACAAAAACATGTCAACAAAACCAAGAGGAGTTTTAAACGTTTTTAAAAAAGTTATGAAGAGAAAAGGAAAAAAAATCCAATATTAGTATATCCAGGACTACGTTATACACACAAAAAATTAAATTTTGCATGCAAAATTTTTTTTTCAAAAAAACATTTGTTTGAATACGAAAATCAATTTGCGGTTGGAAAAAAAAACACAAAAAATTTTTTGGGGGCAATTTCAAAAATACTCATCGCCATCAAAAAAATGCTAGTCATACAACTTCCATATTGTGGAAATTGTGTGACTAGTATTTTTATAAAAAAAGTCAAAGTTTTCAGTCGTAGCAGCCCAAAAAACGCTTAAATGTTTTGCCAGCAGTTGAATTGATTGTTCAAAGCTTTTTTTTTACAAAAAATTTTTAAAAAAATTCTAATCTTACAGTTTCCATATATGGAAGTTGTATGGTTAGCATTTTTTCATACCATTTTTTTCCTTTTTTTATGAAGAGATACCAATTTTGATACCAAAACAAATATAAAATACCTTTGAAGTTTGATTAAACTCATTTTGCAAAAATGTATGAAATTTGTATGACTAGCATTTTTCCATAGACTAAGTGTATGAAATTGTATGATTAGCATTTTCGGTCTATGGATGTCAACCCGGGAAGCTATTAGCTACGATTTTTTTCTTTCACCCTGAGGTTAAAAAAACGTGTTTCCCCAGCCAACATGTGTTATGTTTGGGATCGATATGAAATGTTTGAAAGATCCTCTTTAAACGCAAGGTAAAACAACCTCAACGCCAAAAAAGGTCACACGACCCAATGTGCTCTCAGAGGGCTAAATCTAAATGTTTAGGTGCAAGAACAAAACACCACCGGAAAAGATGAACTTATGCCTTCACAACTGCCCTGGCTTAAAAAACACTACCTTCAAAAGCACAATTGTATTGAAGTACCAGCATTTCAAAATCTGCAACAGTGGGGAAAGTATATTGCAGAAATGCTTCAATGACCGACTCAACGGCTTAGGCTTAATCGAAGAAGCAACCGACCTTACTACTTTGTCCAAGGAAGTTTCCACTGAAGCAAACACACACATTGGATCACAATCAACCGCAATCAACCAAATATCAACAAATATGGGAACTACTAAGACTACATCTAAGACTACATCTAAGGCTACACCTAAGACTACATCTAAGACTACATCTAAGACAACGACTACATCTAAGACTTCGTCTGATACTACATTTAAGACAACGACTACATCTAAGACCTCGTCTAAGACCTCATCTGAGACCTCGTCCAAGACGTCATCTGAGACCTCATCTAAGACTACATCTGAGACCTCATCTAAGACTACATCTGAGGCATCATCTGAGGCTACAACCGAGACATCGAGTTTTAACATTTCAATGTCAAACACCTCCGACAACATAACGGATGAGACTACTACTGCAATAGTCTTTGGTCCAGGTGAAAATGGTGCAAATAACAACGGAGCGGGTAGAGATACTGCAGCAAAGAAAAATAAAAAGAAGCCGAAAGGCAGCAAATACCTTCTAGCTGGAGCTGAAAAAGTCAGCCTAGATTGTCTGCATACAGTTTTACAAGTCATAACTTCAGTTTTTGGAGGCATACAAATAGCGACAGCGTGAAAAAGTTTTAGTCTAAGTTAACCTCAATGAAAAAAGCATTCAAACAAAGTAACCTGCCAAAAAAAGTTTGACTCGTGTTGTTTGAAATATGGTTTGACTTGAGTTTTGTGTGCTTAATTGGGCGAAAAAATAATTAGCAATTTTAAAAGGTGCAGTATTAATTTCAAATAGTGCCAGAAGATAACTGAAACGGAAAAAATTAATGGGATGGAATTAGCTCGAACTGTCCAGTTGAAAACTAATTATCCGATTTGAGAAGTTTAATATTTTCATGTGTAAAGCAGAACCTCATTTTTCAAAAGAGAGCATAACGAGGTTGTATAAAAATACGCAATTGTAAAATCGATGCTTTTTGCTATGTAAATATGAAACTATTCATTGTCACTTAATTTGCAATTTAATTGCTTTGTTCGTTTTTTTTAAAGTTGGAATAGCGAAATGAAATGTGCCATGCAAAAACACAAAGCGCTAGTTTATCTTCAGTTCATAAAAATCAATTGAGATGCAGAGAGTGTGTATGAACAAAATTGAAAGCAATCCCTTTTTAATCCAATGCCCGTACCGCCCTGTAAATTCTCTCATACAGATCCTGAAATATTCTTTTTCTGATCTAAAATTCAGATCTTAAATAGGTAGTGAAATATTTAAATAATACTTGGATACTTTAAGGATGGGCTATTTCAGATCTTATTTCAGATCTAAAATTTGGATTTTCATCTTTTTTTTTCAGATCTGACAAAATCTATTTCAGATGTAAATTCAGATCTTTCTAGCATTTTGATATATTTTATAAGTTTCATGAAAGTCAACAAGACACGTAGCAAGACGCGTAAGTATATTTACTGTTAATTCGAAAATTGTTAGTTTTCAATTTTTATCAAAAAAGTTCAGATCTAAAGTTTGTTAATTTATATCTAGGAATGGAAATCGCGAAATTCAAATTTGAGAACAAACTCATTAGGAAAAAAGAAGTTCAAATTTTGTATAGAAAATCCACTACGTACGGGTGTACAATAAAAATCCAGAGTTGTTGTCATTATTTTTTATAGTCAATCAGCGAGAGGCCTTACCCAAAGATTAATTCTTAAAGTTAACTAAGTTATGGCTATAAAACCAGAGCTCATCTTGTAAAATGCTATTCATGTGCGATTTGAACCGGTGATCATATTATTGATGGGTACCGTCACTACCGATGCGGCACACGCCAACCAATAAGATTATAATTCATCATTTCCTTAGAAACACAATTCATTAAAACTTATTAATAATCAAGTAAAGTCCAGTAAAATGGATTATTATTTCCTCTACATTACGATTTTAATCGCAAATTTTGCAACAGTTAAGGCATTTCTCTAAGGGTGCTTGAAATCTGATCCTACTAAAATTATCCGCTCACGTTCTGCAAACTATAAAATGATTTCTGAAAGAAAGATTCCTTTAAAAGCAAAAATGAAATATAAAATTAAAACAAAAACTTAAAGCAAAAATTTGAAGCAAAAATGAAAAATATACATCAGCCAATTGCTAAGTTTCTCACCTCCTGTACTCTTTGAAGGAGAAAAATGATGAGCTTGTGGATTTATGATAAGACAATGGCGACCGAATTTGTGTATTTTCAGACTAAAGACATCAAAATACGATAATTCGACTGCTCCTTTTTTTCTTTGCTATAAATTTCTAATAATGCCTTTCAAAATTCTAAATGCAGAGCTTAGTCATATACGCTTTTTCGCAAATTTCGAAGAAAGTGACAAAAATTTTGCGCTCGGGGTGATTTTTTCTTTCAAAACAACAAGTATTCATGTATTTAGAGCAAGAATGAGAACAGAACTTTTTTCTATAACACAAATTTGCGTGCAAATTATCACAACTAAAAGTTGTCCAATTAATTGATTATAATGAACTCATTCATATTTAAAATTGTTCTAGTTATGAAAAACTTTTCTGCAAAATACTTGAATAATTCATATACTTTGCGGCTTTAAATTAATTTTCATGTCGAAGATTACCATTGATTGAACGAAACCTTTCATTATCAATGAAACTTCAGTGCGGGTAGCTCTTTCTAAGTGATTCTCAATTTGATTTCAACTAATTTCCCGTGGAAGAAAAATTTTTGATGAAAAATACTTGAAGAAAAACATCAAACCGATTGCTAATTTTCACACCTTTCGTACTCTTTGAAGGTGAAAGATGATGAGGTTGTGGATTTATGATAGGACAATGGCGACCAAGTTTGTGTATTTTCAGACCAAAAACATCAAAATACGATAATTCGACTGCTCCTTTTTATCTTTGCTATAAATTTCAAACAATGCCTTTCAAAATTCTAAATGCGGACCTAAGCCATATACGCTTTTTTCAGACTTTCAGAGAAAGTGACAGAAAATTTGCGCTCGGGGTGATTTTTTTTTTCAAAACAAAAAGTATTCATGTATTTAGGAGAACAAAACTTTTTTCTATCACACAAATTTGCAAGCAAATGATCACAACTAAAATTTTTCCAAATAGTTGATTATAATGAGTTCATTTGATTTTAAAATTGTTCAAGTTATGAAAAATTTTTCTGCAAAAAACTTGAATATTTTATATACATTGCAGCTTTAAGTTAATTTTCATGTCAAAGATTACCATTGATTGAACGAAACCTTTCATTATCAATGAAACTTCAGTGCGGGTAGCTCTTTCTAAGTGATTCTCAAATTGATTTCAACTAACTTCCCGTTGAAGAAAAATTTTTGATGAAAAACCTTTGAAGAAAAACATCAGACCGATTGCTAAGTTTCTCACCTTTCGTACTCTTTGAAGGAAAAAGATAATGAGGTTGAGGATTTATGATAGGACAATGGCGAACAAATTTGTGTATTTTCAGACCAAAGACATCAAAATACGATATTTCGACTGCTGTTTTTTTTATCTTTGCTAAAAATTTCATACAATGCCTTTCAAAATTCTAAATGAGGACCTAAGCCATATACGATTTTTTCAGACTTTCGAAGAAAGTGACAGAAAATTTGCGCTCGGGTTGGTTTTTTTTTCAAAACAAAATAAACTCTAGTATTTAAGAAAAAATGAGAACAAAGTTTTTTCGACAAAAAAAATCATGCAAATTATCACAACTGACATTTGTCCAAATAGATGAATATAATAGGTTCATTTGGTTTTAAATTTGTTCAAAATATGAAAAAATTTTCTGCAACATACTTGAATAGTTCGTATACTTTTCAGTTTTAAGGTAATTTCCATGTCAAAGATTACAATTGACTGAACGAAACTTTTCCTTATCAACGAAACTCTAGTGCAGGTAGCTCTTTCTAAAAATTTCTCAAAAAAGTTCAACTAATTTTCCGTTGAACAAAAAACCTTTCAGGTAGCTGGATGAATTGTAAAATGATTTCTGACATCTTCATGCCGCAATAAAGCAAATGCCATTGAAATTTTTTACCAAGTTTGCTTGAATTTCATCGGAACAAGTAATGAAATTTTAAATAAAAAACGGAACATAAACATCAGAGCAATTATTTAATCTGTTGCTTTCACCTTTTTCGAATGAAAAAAGTCTTGAGCTTGTGGAAAGCAACACATTAGGTAATTATTTTGATGCTTATGTTCCGTTTTTTGTTTAACAGTCGCGACAAAACTTGGGCAATTTTTACTAATGCCACCACGATATTTCGACTTTGCTTTTTGAATAGCTTAAATTTTCAAATAATGCGTTTCAACATTCTAAATACGGAGTTTTACCGTTTAGTTTTTTGTTCCAACTTTAGAAGACGACAACAAAAGGTTTGTTCTCTTGGTTTTTGCTCTTCTGACAATTTTTAGAAAACAAATGTATTCAAGTATTCAGAAAAAATGGGATTTTTTCTTTCCACACACCAAATTGCATGAAAAAATTACAATTGATATATATCCAATAAATTGATTCAATTGGACAAGTAAATTTAAAAATGTTAAAAGTCTTTACAAATTTTATTGCATTATAGTTGAGTATTTCAGACTATTTTTTTTTAGCTTGAAGTTGTTTTTCAGATCAGAGATTACCATTGATTATGAACGAAATCTTTCATATTCTATGAAACTACAGTGCAGGTAGTATTCTAAGTGATTCTCAAATTCTTTATACCATATTTCACTTTGTTGAAGAAGCATTTTTAGGTAGCTGAATGGACTATAAAATGTTTTCTGACACCTTCAGCGAGGAAAATAGGAAATTCGTTTAGTGGTTTTATGTTTGCCTAAAATTTATGAAAACAGTTTTTGAATTTTTAAAGCAAAATTGAAATATAAACAACATCCAATTTCTAAGCTTGTCATCTTTCGTACTCTTTGAAGGAGAACGATGATCAGGTTGTGGATTTATAAAAAGGACAATATCGACCAAATTTGTGTATTTTTACACTAAAGACATCAAAATACGATATTTCGACAGCTGCTTTTTAATTTTTGCTAAAAATGTTAAGTATTGCTTTTCAAAATTCTAAAAGCGGGCCTTAGCCATTTACAGATTTTTCAGAATTCGAAGAAAGTGACAGAAAACTTGCGCTCGGGTTGATTTTTTTTTTTCAAAACAAAATTTCATGTAATTAGCGAAAAAACGAGAACAAAGTTCATTTCTACAAAACAGAATTGCAAGCAAACTATCACAACTGACAATTGTCCAAATAGTTGATTATAAATTTGTTCATTCCATTTTAAAATTGTTCAAATCATGAAAACAATTTCTGCAATATACTTTTCAGCTTTAAGTTAATTTTCATGTCAAAGGTTACAATTGACTGAACTTAACTTATCCTCATCATAGAAATTCCAGTGCAGGTAGCTGTTTCTAAAGAATTCTCAAATATAATTCAACTAGTTTCCCGTTAAAGAAAAATCTTTCAGGTAGCTGGATGAAATGTAAAATGAATTCTGACATCTTCATGGCGCAAAAAGCAATTTTTTTGAACATTTCTACAACGTTTGCTTAAAATTCATCAGAATAATTTATGAAACTTTAAACCAAAATTGGAACCTAAACATCAGAACAATTGCTGAATGTGTTGCTTTCACCTTTTTTGAATGAGAAAGATCATGAGGTTGTGGATTTATGATAGAACAGTCGCGACCAAATTTTTGGCTTTTTAGACTTATGCCACTACGATATTTCGACTTTGCTTTTCGAACAGCTTAAATCTTGAAATAATGCTTATCAATATTCTAAATAAGGAGCTTTACCGTTTAGGTTTTTGGACAAAATATTTGTGCTCTGTTGGTTTTCTTTTGCATTCAAATTGATTA